CTCAGAAACTACAGGCAACTCAGGGCGCCTGGGTGGCTCAGTCGTTAAGCATCTACCTTTGGCTCAGATCATGATCCCAGGGTCCTGGGATCAAGCCCCGCATCAGGCTCCCTGCTTGGTGGGAAGCCTGCTCCCTCTCCCACCTACCCCTGCTTGTGTTCCTGCTCTTGCTCTCTCTCTCTTTGTCAAATAAATAAATAAAATCTTTTTAAGAAAGAAAGAAAGGAAGGAAGGAAGGAAGGAAGGAAGGAAGGAAGGAAGGAAGAAAGAAAGAAAGAAAGAAAGAAAGAAAGAAAGAAAGAAAGAAAGAAAGAAAGAAAGAAAGAAGGAAAGAAGGAAAGAAGGAAAGAAGGAAAGAAGGAAAGAAAAAGAAAGAAAGAAAGAAAGAAGAAACTACAGGCAACTCAGATTTCTAAGAGAAATATCACTCCCGCCATCCCCACACCCAGACACCCAGGAGTCCGGGTTTTTGCAAAGGTTTTTAAAGGCCCTCCCTTGGTCTTTGGTTCCTCATTTTGCAACAGGAGGTTCCTGTGAGAGCTTGTCCTCAGAAACCGTCTAGAGACATAGGCATGTTTAATCCTCCCAACAACACTGAGGAATAGAGATTCTCACTTCCCTTTTGCAGATGAGAAAGCTAGGGGTCAGAGATTAAGCCACCTGCACACCTCAGATTCAGTGGCAAAGCTGGGATTTGAACCCGGGTCTGTCTGCCCAAAGCCCACATTCTTTTCACTTCCTGGTTCCCGGGGCACATATGAAACTGGACCGCCAGTTCTAGCATGAGACACAGATCTCCTTAATGTTTTGATAAAGAAGCATGGTCTTCTAAGCATGTAATAAGCTTCAGGAATTCCTTACCCTGAGAGAGAGCTGAAATTATAAGCAGAATCAATAAACGCTGAGCTAAATTTGTGTTTGTGTCACTGACAGTAGCCATGAAGGGAATTCTGGAATGTCAGGGGAGCTTTCCAACCCCAAAATGACTGCTCGAACTCCAAGGACCCTTAGAGGACTTCTAGACCAAGCCTCCTTTACAAACAAAGAAATTGAGGCCCAGAGAGGACACAAGACCCCTCAACGTCACCTGGAGTCAGGTGCAGGTTTGGGAGCAGAACCAGGCTCCCGACCTGGAACACTAAGTCAATGTCCCTGATTGACACAACCCCAGCTTAGAACCAGGGACTCCAGGGTGAGTCTGATTCTCAGGCTCTTCTCTAAGAAGAGGCTTAAGGGTGGGCTGCCGGGGCTTAGTTCCTTGCTCTCACCACCCGTGAGCGATCAGGGACCCCTTTCAGGCTCTCTCACTGCTGAGTTATCAACCAGGGGTGCTCTCCCCTCCCCCGGCGCACACCCCACCGCCCTCTGGTGTTCTTGCTTCTGCAAAACAGGTTCTGACATCCCTGGGTATTGAAAGAAGGGACAGAAGCAGGTCACATTCTTGAGTATTTGTTATTTTAGGATGTGCTTTTTCTTTTCTTTTCTTTTTTTTAAAGATTTTATTTATTTATTTGACAGAGAGACACAGCAAGAGAGGGAACACAAGCAGGGGGAGTGGGAGAGGGAGAAGCAGGCTTCCTGCTGAGCAAGGAGCCCGATGCGGGGCTCGATCCCAGGACCCTGGGATCATGACCTGAGCCGAAGGCAGACGCTTAATGACTGAGCCACCCAGGCATCCTAGGATATACTTTTTCTACAGCTTAGGGTGGCCACCGCCAGCACTGGCCAGCTCCCCCCAGCATAGTCATCCATCCAGCAAGCATGACCGGGCACTTGCTTTCTGCCAGCTCTTGGTAGATGCTGCGACATCAAGGAGAACAAGTTACACCTTTTGTCCCCATAGTCGGCAACGGGGAGAACAAACCCAGTGTGTGACACCCATGAGGTTGGGTGAGATTCAGGAGGCCAGGGGAGCACAGAGCTGGGGCTCCTAACCCAACCTAGTGAGAGGCCCACACCAGGAAGGCTTCCTGGGGGAAGTGAGTTTGAGAAGAGGTCTGGAGAATGAACAGGAATTAGATAGGAAAAGGGGGGTGGAAAAGGGATTCCAGGCAGCGATACAGCTTGGACAAGGCTCACAGTCAAAGTGATGCAAGGTGCGTTGGAGAAATTTATCAGAAAGAAAACAAATGAATTTTTCTGGCAATCTGAGCCAGAGCGAATCAGCAGGGTGAATCTGCTGCTATACACGTCAATTCAGTATTGGATAGTTGCTTTATATTCAGCCATGTGCAGGGTACAGAGAAATACAAGGGGTGCTCTTTGCACTCAAAATATTTTCTCCCTCCCTGGGGAGACAAGAACCATTGCATTTTAAAGACCGGAGAATGGGGGGCGCCTGGGTGGCTCCGTCAGTTAAGCCTCTGCCTTTGGCTCAGGTCATGATCCCAGGGTCCTGGGATGGAGCCCCGCATCGGGCTCCCTGCTCCACGGGAAGACTGCTTCTCCCTCTGACTCTCCCTCTCTCTATCTCTGTCTCTCATGAATAAATAAATAAAATCTTAAAAAAAAAAAAAAGACCAGAGAACGGAGTTATTATGGAACTTCTCAGAGTGATCACAACCATTCACTGAATACCCCCAGCAACCAAGAGCAGCTCATCCTAAAGTCAACTACACTATCATACTGAGAGCTATTTCCTTAAATCAAAAGAATTTGCCTCCTTAATATGTGCTTCCACTGCCCCCCTTGGTTTTCTTGTTTGGAGGTAGTTACATAAAAGGGGGCTAGACTCTTCTTCATGCAACCGGTTGGGGTTAGGGTTAAGGGTTAGGATTAGGGGTTAGGGTTAGAGGTTGGGGTAAGGGCTAAGGGTTAGGGTTTTTCAAAGATGGTGCTGATGTCTCACCTTGCCCTGACTTGAGTCTGTCCTTTCCTGTCCTAAACAGGGCAATAATACCGGATATTGCCAATGTGCAGTACCAGAGCCCTTTAAGTTGAAACTGTGGTGAGCTGAAATCGTCTTAAACAGCTCCCAGGAGAGGATACCCTCCCACCGGTGTTTGAAGAAGAGGAAGTCTTTCAAAGGGAGAGCAAATGAAACTGCAGGAGGTGGGTACAGTCTAGACAAAGGCAGTTCATTATGCCTTTTTGTTTTGCTCAGTAACCTTGCTTTTTTTAAATATAAAGTAATATATTGCTTATAAGTACTTTAGAAAATGCAGCTGAGCAAAAGAAAATAAAAACCAGCTATAATTCTACTATCCTCCAGAGATAATTCCACTGATATTCATGTTATAATCATATCATTTAAGACTTTTTCTCTATGTGTATATGTGGGTATTTTTTTAAGATTTTATTTATTTATTTATTTATTTATTTATTTATTTATTTATTTATGAGAGAGACAGTGAGCGAGAGAGAGAACATGTGGGGTTGGGGGAGGAGCAGAGGGAGAGGGAGAAGCAGACTCCCCGCTGAGCAGGGAGTCCCATGCTGGTCTCGATCCCAGGACCCTGGGATCATGGCCTGACACCTAAACGGACTGAGCCACCCAGGCGCCCGTATATGTATGTGTGTTTTAACCAGGCTTGTACCCTACATAGTATATGCCATACTTCCTCTCATTTGACAAAATCTAGGGAATCTTTGGCCACCAAACATTTTCTCCAGCACTATTCAATTGCAAGGTTGTGCTCATCTTGCATTGGGTGGCCAAACCATTATTCATTTAGCCAACCCTCTATTGTTAGACATAGAGGCTCTTCCTTTTTTTTTTTTCTATTTACTATTAAAAATGAAGTCTGAATGTTCCCCATTCTTATCGTTTTCTGAAATTACAGGAAATGACTGGCACAAGCCATACCTTCATTCCCCCAAAGCACAGCTCAAATTTGGCTCTTTGGTCAAACAAACTTTACCAAAGACTCAAAGCTGATAGAAAGAAAATATTTACAACACAGAAAATAAAAACTTAAATGCAGATTGCAGGATATTACATCCTACTACATCCAAAAACCATAGGCTTCTGGATGCCTTCCAGAGGCTGTTTAGGATCCAGTTCTCCTGCATGGTCCTCAGCCTCCTGCTGTGTGGCCGGGGCCAGACAAACCCTTCCCAGGGACACAGATCTCTGATTATGTCCACCTTAACCAGAGCCCAGGCCCCTTCAACCTCCCTGAGGCCCAGCAAGGAGAAAATCATTTCCTAAATACCCATCCCAATGAATTTCACGTTAATCCCTACAGATACAGCTCTAGATGGCAGACTAGCCACTCGGGTGAGCAGTGTGAATTATCATTGTCCCAAACCAAAAACCCATTCGTGAATTTTGCCCCCCATTGCTAGCACAGCAGAATCACTGAAGTTTGAGATCTGTTTTCTTTTCCGAGCCTTTTGGAGGACCCGGGCCCCAGAGGCTCAAGTTCCAGCAGCCTCTCTAGAAGGAAAGCTATCCCCAAGGTTGTCATCCCACATGGGGAACCTGCTTTGCTATGAGGCAGAAGGAGGAGCAGCAAACATCCTATATATTCTGCCAGAACAAAGCCAGGGAGTCACAGCTTTTCCTTTGCTAACAAGGAACATTCTGGAACGTATTTTCTGTGCCCCTGTCTGTTCCAGATGTGTTCTCAGGATAAATTCCTGACAATAAAATCACAGGGACAAAAGTCACAGGCATCTTGCAGGTTTTTGAAACACAATGTCAAATTTTTGCACCCCCCCCTCTTTTTTTTTGCCTCTCAGCTTCCTGATAAAGCACTGAAGAAGCCTTCGGTTGAATCAGCCACCAGACCAGATAAACAAGCTGGCCTGTCACTGTTACTGTTTTCAGCAACTGGGGAGGGAACTCCCTTGGATCCTGCCCAGGGCTTGGAATTCCCAAGCACACATAGACCAGACACCTTTGCACCTGGCTCCCCCTGCTCAGGCCCCACCCTCCCCTCCTTTCCCCGCCCCTGTGGCCTGGCGGAGCCAGTGCTGCGGAGGCGGCAAAGCTGCCCCTGGCTCCATCTGTGCTCAGCCCAGAGCCGAAGCCAGAAGAGGGCTCTGAGCCCGGCCCCATGAGGACGCTACTGACCATCCTGGCCGCGGGATCTCTGGCAGGTGAGTGCCCATTGCCCTGTGGTCACGCTCCCCGCCCCCCCCCCCCCCCCCCCCCGGCCCAGGAGGGTTGATCAGGGTTCCACAGGCATGCGCACAGGCATACATACACACACATGGCCCCAGGACGGCCAGTTTCCGTTTCTCCTCCACCAGGGCTGCCCTGGGTGACAAGTTTCCCTGGAGAATTGGGGAATACTTCAGGGTATTGGGGAGGATGAAAGGGTCCCTCAGACCTGGCTTCGTCCGGAGACTCAGCTAACCTCAAGACTCGGGGATGCAGCCAGCTGTCTGAACTGGGGTACCAGATGCCCTCACCTCAGTGGGTGGAGAATTGGCTTGAGGGAGGCAGACATCCTTGGACCCCTCGAATAATTCTGATAGTTGTACCATCCCTTCCTCTGCTTCTGGCTGGCACTGGCCCAACAAGGGGAGGGGGGAGAAGGACAGTCGGACAAACCTTGAGTGCGGCCATTGTTTCTCTCCACCACCTGAGGGGGGCCTCTTCTGACCCCTCACACTAGATCTAAAAGAGCATTAATTGGGGTGCCTGGGTGGCTCTGTCGGTTAAGTGTCTGCCTTCGGCTCAGGTCATGATCCCAGGGTCCTGGGATGGAGCCCCGCGTCGGGCACACTGCTCGGCGGGAAGCCTGCTTCTCCCATTCCTTCTGCCGCTCCCCCTGCTTGTGTCGCTCTCACTCTCTCTCTCTCAAATACATAAATAAAATCTTTAAAAATAATTAAATAAATGAGCATTAACTCTAGGAAACAAACTGAGGGTTGCTGGCGGGTAAGTGGGTGGGGGATGGGGTGATGGGCATTAAGGAGAGCACTTGAAGTAATGAGCACTGGGTGTTATATGCAACGACTGAATCACTAAATTCTGCCTCTGAAATTAATAATATAGTGTATGTTAATTAAATCTAATTGAAATAAAAAATTTAAAAAAATGAAAGAGCGTTTTCTCCCAGAAGGGCCAGGTCTGCTGCATTAAAAGATCTTAAAACATCAGGGCCCTTTTGAAAACAGGACTAAAGGGCATAGCTTCCAAATCCAATAAAGTGGATTTCTTGATTTATCATTATAGAGAACTTTCAGGCAGATATGTGAGATCCCAGATTGGTTCTCTGCTCCCGAGATGTTTCATAAAATTCAGGGAACTTTCTCAGGAACTGAAAGCATAGTCCAGACTGAAGAGAGGGGAGGGATGGCCTCTGCAAGGCCCCTTCTAGCTCAAGTGCAGGATGAAGCCAATAAAGGGCCGAGGCTTCCCAGCCCCCTCTGCTGCTGTCCCCTGTGTCAGCAGGTGGGATCCACAGTGTTTCCAGCTGCCTCCTGGGCCCTTCCGGTCTGTTCAACTCTGGTATCAAGCTGGGCATTCCCAACGCACTGGGCCCTTGTTGAGTGAGGAGGACTTGCTGCATCCCCCAAAGACTCCATTCTGGTTGGAAGTCTTAGAGGCTCTTGACCCTCGCAGATGGGGACAAAGGGGAAACAACCTTAGGAGTTGTTAAGAGCCAAGAAGGTTTTCTGGGCCCCAGGTCTCCTCTGCCCCAGCATTCTTAGGCTGATTCTAGAATATTTTGGATTATTTTTGTTTGTTTCCCAACTTGTTGACATAAAATTGTTTTTTTCAAGTAAATATGAAAACTTCCTTTCATAGAGGCTACCAGTCGGTCAGTTTCTAGACAACACATGTGTCCCCAGGATTTCACAATGTAGACTTTCACCCAGGAAGTGCAGAAACGAAGCAGGCTGAGGAATACATGATAGCTTTAAGGAGGGGAAGGAATGATCAGGGCAGGAGAGGGAGAGATTTTTTTTATTATAGAGAGAGAGCTCAAGCGCGGGGGGTGAGGGGCAGAGGGAGAAAGAGAATCCCAAGCGGATTCTGTACTGAGCACAGAGCCCGATGCAGGGCTTGATCCCAGGACCCTGAGATCATGAACTGAGCCAAAATCAAGAGTCAGATGCTTAACCGACAGAGCTACCCAGGAGTCCTAAGGGAGAGATCTTGTTAGCCCTCAGTGCCCCCTAAAAGAAGAGCCCAGCCAAGGTCCACCCACTTCATTTCTGGAAGCCAACTGCAGTTCCCTCCTGGAAAATGGTGCCAACCTCCTCCCAGCCTGGGCTCCTTACCTCCCGAGCATGTCTCAGCCCCAGCCACCAGGCTATCCCACCACAACAAGCCCACCAGGATACTGACTCCAACCAGCAACCTTCCCAATGCCGCCCCTAACCCACCACTTAGCGGTAGTTAAGCCCAGCCCCAGATAGACCCTGGCCTTCTCTCAAATCCCACCCGCCCTCTCTCCTGCCCTAAATTTATCAACCCACCAGAAGCTACCGTTCGGTTCTGACCTCAGGTGTCCTCCCTCCCTCATCTTAAGACCCAGCCCTGAATCCAGGACCACTCCCTCCAGATCAGACCCCAATTCTGCCCAGACTCAAATCAAGATGCGGGCCACACCTCAGGGCTCAGTAGCATAGCCATCACATTGTAGAGGCAGTAAGCCATGTCCTCCCCAACCCCCAAGTCCCCTAGGTCCTGTTCTGGGAGCTCCAGGAAGCCCAGAACACCAACATTTCTATAGCTGTTGGGACTGACCAACTCAGATTCAAAGAGGAACGTGGCCTTAGGATGGATGGTGGATGCACAGCAGGGTTGGGCTACCCAGATACTCTTCCCCATCCCCACAGGTGCCTCCTAAGCCCATGGACCCCTCTTGCAGAAATATTGTATGTGGACTTGGAGTGGGGAATAAATAACTGTCCACTTCCTTACACCATGGGCCTGTTGGTGGTCATGGCCATGTCCGGGGTGGAGCGAGGCACACACACGTCAAAGACATATGCACACAAGGCCCCAAGGCCTTGATGCAAATGGGTCCACACCTGCTTATTTCCAACCCCAGCAAACCAGGCCCTTCTGAGCATGCTCAGAACCAGCTGCCAGCTCTGGCCGCCATTTTCCTGCAACCCGTCTTCCTTTCCACAGACCAAGTCGGAGGGCTGAGAGAAGAGTTTTGTAACTAAAGGCTCCATTTGTAGTTCAAGATTGCTTCGGAGGGAGTGGCCCCTCCCCGGTGCTCTTCTTGGGGCTTTGGTCTTCGCTGCCCCCTCCCTGCCCTATGATATTCCCCCACGACCAGTCTGGCACCGCGATGAGTACTGCAGGCTCTGTCCCATACTAACCGAGACACTGGGCAGGTAAACCTCTCTGAGCCTCTGCTTCTCTTATCCCTAAAACGGGGGTAATGATAGTAACTGCCTCCTCAGGTTGTCAGAAGGGTTTAGTGAAGAGACTTAGCCTAGTGCCTGGCACTTGAAACACATATCACAGGTGTCAGCAGCCGCTCTTGTCATTAGTCTTTGCCTTTAGGTAAGTCAAATCATCCCCACCTTAGAGATGAAAACAGGTTTCCCAGGGTCGCCCTACCCGTAGGTGGCATCCGTCAGCCCCCACCCCCTGCCCTGGGCAAGTCTGTGCTCTGCCTTCCTCCCCGTGCCAGGCGGGCAGGGACTGGTTCAGCCAACAAAGAGGCGGGAGCTCACAAACATCCTCTCCAGCCCTGTCTGGAATTATTGACTCCGGGAAAGTTATTCTTTGATGTTTTAGTTGAACAGCCAACGTGTAGTTGAGCATCTTTCCAATATCCCGTGGGTGAGGACGCCCACTTCAGGTATGTCCAGAAGTGAAGGAGAGACAGTCACAAGTGTCGTCAGGGGCGTGGAATAAAGGCAGCACTAACACGCTGCCGTGGGGACGCAGGATGTATTTACATGAAAAGTCCAGAATAGGAAGATCCATAGAGCCAGAAAGCAGTTTAGTGGTTGCTTTCAGGCTGGGGGAAGGAAGGAAGGGAGAGGGACTCTTAACAGGCACAGGGTTCCTTTTTGGTGTGATGACAATGCTCTGGAATTAGAGAGTGGTAATGGTTTCACAACTTTGTGAATATACTCAGAAACCCCTGATTTGCATGCTTTAAAATGGTGAATTTTACAGGCTGCAAATTATAGCTCAATAACAAATTTAAAAAGAAGCGAAGGAGGACAGTGATAGTTGCAGTGTCTGGTGAGTGGGTGCTGGTACTGCCCTCTTCATCGGACGGCTCGTTGGTGGGCTGGGGGCAGGATCCTCGTGCCCATCTGCTCACCCTGCTCCCACTTCCCACAGCTCACATTGCTGAGGACACCTCGGATCTTCTTCAGCACGTAAAATTCCAGTCCAGCAACTTCGAAAACATCCTGACGTGGGACAGCGGGCCGGACAGCGCCTCAGACGTGGTCTACAGCGTCGAGTATAAAAGGTAGGCTTCCCCCTCCACATGACCTTTTCAGACTCTGCTCTGAAACCAGCCCTTCCAAGAAAACCCCCCGTCTATCATATGTCCCCACGTCCCACCCCACACCCCGCCCCCCGTCTGATGTGCCACAGCCTACACCACCCCCTGCCAGGCAGAGCTTTGTTCCTTTGTGGTTTCTTTTGCAAAGGGAGGATAAAATAATGGTTAAAAGTGCAGGCTCTGGAGTCAGACTGCCCAGGCTTACCTGCCATCTCTGGCCTTTATAACCTGGGGCAATGGGGTAATCTCGCCAAGCCTCAGTGCCCCCACCCATAAAGTAAGGACAGCAAGAGTACCTCCATCATAGGATTGTTAGGTAGATTAAACAAGATAGTCATGAGTGCTTGTGCCTGGCAGATAATAAAATCATTTTATTATTATTGGGGAGACTAGGTCAACAAAGAGTCGTGCCCACCCCCTCAAGCCCGTGCCCCTGTTCCTGCCCGTCTCTCTTCCTGCACAGAGGAAGAAGTTGGCATGGGCTCAGGGGTCTGCAAACCTGGGTTCCATTGCTGGTCCTGCCACTTCATCCCGTGGCAAGTCACTTTCCCTCTCTGAGCCTCAGTTCCCTCATCTGTAAAATGGGTATAACAGTGCCTGCCTCAAAGCCTTATGGTAACGATGGGCCCAGAATGTGAACTCAGACTGGCTGGGTTCAAATCCTGGCTCCCCAAATGCATGCTCCAAACACCTGCCCAAATTTTACCTCTTTAAGCCTCAGCTTCCTTATTCGAAAAGGAAGGAGAACCATGTCTGAACCTCACGGGATCATTGTGAGGACTAACAGATCAGCCACATAAGGGGCTTGGGACACAGAATGTGCTAAGTAAATATTAGATATCATTATCACTATTAATAAACCACAGGCCCGGTGCCAGGCCCAACCATTCAAGGTGTGCTCTGGCCCCTCCCATGCCTACAGGTACGGAGAGAGAGAATGGCTGGCGAAGGAGGGCTGCCAGCGGATCACCTGGAAATCCTGCAACCTGACCACGGAGACGGGCAACCTCACGGAGCTCTATTACGCCCGTGTAACTGCCCTCAGTGCGGGAGGCCAGTCAGCCACCAAGATGACCGACCGGTTCAGCTCACTGCAACACAGTGAGTGGGCGCCCCTCGCTGCAGGGGAGGGGCGGGGGGAGGCCCGGAAGGGCAGGGGGCAGTTCGAGATGAGGCTTTCAGGGAAGGTCGCCCCAACTAGAGAGCATCCCGTGCGCAGCTGGTCGTCTTTCTCCAGCTCCAGCCCAGCCTCCCGAGGTCAGTTCACCTTCCTCTGGCCTCTCGACTCCAGCCAAGGGCTCCTAACTCAGTGCCCTACTCCAGCCCTGACTCTTTCCCAATCCCCAGTCTTGGTCTGGGCTTCCACATCACCTCCTAAGGGGGCGTCCCCACTCTCGGCCCTAACGACCTCATTTCATGATGTCACCATCTGCTACTCTCTGTCACAGTCAACTGTTCATTGTCTTTGTGGACTCCCGCGTTCTCGGTCCCTCACGTAGGGTCTGGCATGGAGGAGATGCCCACTGCGTAATTGTTGAGTGAATGAATATGAGTTGCCAGACTCCCCACACAAGCTGAGCAGGTGGTGACGTTCACTAATGGACTTCACAGCCACGTGGTTTTCCAAGAAAAGAAAAAATAAAATTAAATGAGTTATTTTTTTCTTGGCTTATTCAATTAATACATATTTATCCTAGAAAACTTGGAAAATATAGAAATGCACAAAGAAAAATAAAAGAAGTCCAAAATAACCTGAACACTTAAACATAACCATGGTTACTAGCAACTGTCTCTACTCTTTTGTGACCTGGTTGGCTGGTTGCTTTTCATATAATGCCCTCAGGAACATTTGCCCACACCATTAAGTACTTTTGCACAGCATGACATTTCATGGCTGCAAAATGATCTGTTCTATGGAGGTAGTCTTAATTTACTTCCCCAATTCCCTTTTTGAGGACTTTTAACTCAGTTTTTCAATTTTATAAACAAAACCGAAGTGAACATTCTTCTAGCTCCAGTGTTTTCAATCTCGGAGGTCAATGGACCCTTGAGGGATTTTTATAAATTTGCTTCAGGGGGAGTAGGGCTCATGAATCCCCGAAATTGAGTGCAGAATTTTTGTATATGTACATTTTGGGGGAGAGAAGATCCGTAGCATTCCTCAAATTCCTAAAAGGGTCCTTAAACCAGTAAAGGTTATTTGGTTATTCGGAAAGTCACATCTGGAGACAGACTGAAGTCTCAGACCTGGCCTTTGAGGCCAAATCAATAATTTGGGGCACTGCGAACATTACTTAGTTTATATAGCTGAACCCTCAGTCCCCAAAGCTGTCATTGCCAATAGACCAGGAAAAAGGGAGCTCTGGGTGGACTCAAGGTGGGGATTGTGGAGGCAGGGACAAGGGCACCGTTTATCTAGGAGGCCAGTGCCCCTCTCCCTGGGTTCTGCCCACTCTCCCTTGGGCACCCCTTTGCCGGCCTTAAACCCAAACACCAGTTGCTTGAAGCACTTTTCTCTTTTCACCTGTTTGTTTAGCTACTGTTTTCAGAAGCATAGTTGGGGTTGGGGTGGGACGAGAGGGGAGGCAGTCAGTCATATCCCCTGGTCTGGGGCAACCTCAGACACTGCTGGCTGATTCCGGTCTCTTCTTTTTGCTTTTCTCTCTCCCTTTTCCAGCTACCATCAAACCACCCGATGTGACCTGTATCCCCAAGGTGAGATCCATCCAGATGATCGTCCATCCCACCTCCACGCCTGTCCGTGCAGGGGATGGCCACCGGCTTACCCTGGAGGATGTCTTCCCTGACCTATTCTACCGCTTAGAGCTCCAGGTCAACCACACCTACCAAATGGTAAATATATGTGCCTCTCTGGTCCTTCCCTGCCTGGGAAACTCATTTCCCCATCGATTATATCTGCATTGCTTCAAGCAGAAAGGAGATGTTTTATGTAAATTAGCATTTTCCAAAACACAGCCCTCCCTCTTGTAGATCACACAGACAAGAGCCTGTTTGCCTAATACCTTATAATATCCTGGAGAGCAACCTCTACTAACATCTTCAGATGTCCACTTGGGAAAAGGCTGAAATCTATTTCTGCTGCTACAGTTCTTTTTGCTGGTTCTTCACCATTTGCAGGAACTGGATACAGGCACTGTCTTAAGGTCACTAACCATGAAAGGTAGAAGGCAAGGGCATAAATGGTCAAATGTTATACAAGGTATTTCTTTTGTATCCAGGAAATATGTGTTTTCTCCCCAGCATATGCCTCGGGTCCGTAATTACATTGAATGACTATTCCCACACCCAAGATGTTTATAATCTAGTGGATGGGGAAGGAGCTAAAACAAGAATTCAAATAGCTATAGATAGAGGAAAATAAGGGTATTGTGTGGGGTGGAGTAGGGGCAGGGAGGTGGGAGGGGAGATGGCAGCTCAAAGAGTTCTGGAAAAACTTCCAGATCAGAAAACGGTCTGGTGTCAATACCAACTTCTAAGGCATGTCAAGTAATACACGCCTATTATATCATTTATGCCTTACCATAACCCTGTGAGGTGGGGGCTACCATCTCCGTCTTCTGAATGAGAAAACAGAGGCTCAGAGAGGTTAAGGCACTAACTCAAGATTGTTCAGCAAATGACAGCATAGTCAAGATTCAGATCCAGCTCTGTTCACAGCCCACATTTTTCCCTCCCTGGCCTAGACTGCCCCACCATGATCAGAGAGAAAAGCAGGAAAACTTAAAACCTTCCTGGAAAGCACAAAATCGCCCAGTTTGGCTGGAGCATGGAGACATGCAGACCAGTTTCTCATGCAGAGCAGTTTCTCAAAACATGGCCCCAAACCAATGGCATCAAAATCTCCTGCAGTATTTATTTAAAATGCAGGTGCCTGGGCCTTCTTCTGATCTACTCAATGCAATTCTGCAGTGGCACCTCTAGGGTCTGAGTGTTTAGTCAGCAACTGGAGTGCCTCTTACCCACCCTGACGTTTGAGACCCGCTGATGTAGGGGAGGCAAGGGAGGAAGCCTGGGCAGACAGGCTGGGAGGTAGAGGTCTGGGGTGGTGGACAGAGGAAGGTCTATTTATCTCTGTAGTCAGGGGAGCAATTAGAAATTACTGAGCAGGGCAAGTCCTTTTCACACTATCTATTAGTAAATATTTGGGCTTTAGTGAATATCTTATTTACAAGTTATATCAGTTTGTGGTCAGAGAACACACTCTGCACGATTGCAGTTCTTCTACATTTATGGCGCAGCATATGGCCGGTCTTGGTGAGTGTTCCACGTGCACTGAAAAGAATGTGTGTCTTACAGTTGTTTGGCAGAGCGCTCTATAAATACCCATTCGATAAAGGTGGCTAATCATGTGACTCAGATCTTCAGTGTCTTTCCTGATTTGGGGAAGAATTATCATTCTTTTCATTGCTGAGAGTATTAAAATCTCCAACTAGGACTGTGGATTTGTCTCTTTTCCCCTCTAATTCTGTGCAGATTTGCTTCTGTTCTCAAACACATACACATTTCTGACTGTTACAGCCTCCTGATAAATTGACCCTTTCATCGTTATGAAATGATTTTTTTTCCTCTAGTATTATTCTTTGTATTGAAGTCTACTTCACCTGTTATTCATAGAGCCACTCCAGCCTTCTCACACTTACAGTCTGCCTGGTATGTCTTTTTTTTTTTTTTTAAGACTATATTTATTTATTTATTTATTTATTTATTTGCGAGAGAGTGCACGCACATGAGAGGGAGAGAGAGCACAAGCGGGGGTGCGGGGCAGAGGGAGAGGGAGAAGCAGACTTCCCGCTGAGCAGGGCACCGACGGACATGGGACTTGATCCCAGGACCCTGGGATCATGACCTGAGCCGAAGGCAGACGCTTAACCACCTGAGCCACCCAGGCGTCCCTTCCTGGCATATCGTCTTACCTGCATTTATTGTCACTCTAATTGTGTCTTATATTTAAAGGGCATCTCTTGAAGACAGCCTTCTGACATCTCTGCCCTTTTTCTGAGATATAATTCACATACCATAAAATCCTCCCTTTTAAAGTGTAGAGCTCCACGGTTTTTAGTACGTGCAAAAAGTTGTGTGGCCATCACCACTATTCTCCTTATGCTATTAATCTGTTTTCAAGTTCTCTGACTCTTCCCTCAACTCCAATCTGCTACTAAGCCCATTCAAGTAGGATTTTTATTTCAGATAATATATTTTTCAGTTCTAAAGTTTCCAGTTTTCATGGTTTCTACATCCCAGTGAGATCTCCTAGTCATTCGTTATGAGCACATTTTCTTTTGCTTCCTTGAGCATATTTATACTAGCTGCTTGAAAATCGTTGTCTGGGGGTGCCCGAGTGGCTCAGTCAGTTAAGCAGTTAAGCCTCTGCCTTTAGGCAGGTCATGATCTCAGGGTCCCGGGATCAAGCGCCTCATCGGGCTCCCTGCTGAGCTCCCTGCTTCTCCCTCCCCCTCTGCCACTCCCCCTGCTTGTGCTCTCTCAATTTCACTCTCTCTCAAATAAATAAATAAATAAAACCTTAAAAAAGAGGGAGAGCGAGAGAAATCATTGTCTGCTAATTCCAGTACTTTGGTCATCTTAGAGTAGGCCGCCATTGATTGTCTTCTCTCCTGAATCTGGATCACGCTTCCTCTTACTTTGCACGTCTAACAATTTTGGAATGTATCCTAGATGTTGCGAATGGTATCGTGGAGGGAATCTGGATTCTGTTCTATTCCTCCAAAGAGTTTTGTTTTGTTTTGTTTTAGCAGACAGGTAATTTGGCTGAACTTCAAACTCCAAAATCTTAGTCCCATTCTTTCACCTTTACCTGGGCTGCTTGGAGTTTGCCCTACTCACTTTAGGGGCCAGGCAGGGATTTGTGCCAAGTTTATACTCAGAACTCGGGCCTCCCTCTCTGTGGCTCTCTCCTATCGGCCGTCTCTCCCCCTCACTTTCTAGCTGTTAGGATTGCCCGGAGCTCTGTCTTCTTATTATTCAAACCAGTAAGATGACAAGGTTTCTATTTAGGTTTAAACCATCCCACAAGGTGAAAGCCTGCTTTTAAGCTAACAACATTTTAAAAGATGAGAAATTCACCCAGTGACTTTCCCTGTTTCCTTTCTCCAGTATCTGCCTGTTTTTGCTTGCTCTCCAATGCCAACAGGTGGTTTGGCCAGAATTTATAGTTGTTGCTTCAGGGAGGATTGGTCCAAAGAAGCTATAAATTACTGGGAGCAAAAAGAAGAGAGACCAAATGTGAAAATGAAAGAGAGATCAGGGTAGAACGTTAGGGCCTACTGCAATGGTAGGGGCTGGAAATCACTGGGCCTGAAACAGGCCGGAGGCAGTAAAACATCTGGGGAAAGAGGAATCTTGGGACATGGCAACTCTGCTAGGCTTGTGTCACACGATCTTTAATGTGTGCACCTTCAACCGTATGAGTTACACAAAACAATAAGTTGCAAAATCTGTTTATGTACTTCTTCACCCACTTACACCCCCCCTCGAAAAATAAAAATAACCCTAAACTCTGGCTTCCATGTACCTGGAAAGGGAAGACGTAGCTGAAATGCAAAGAACTAAAGAAGAAAATTCTTAGTTTTTGAACACCCAAGAACACAGCTTCTGGCCCTTTAAAGGAAGGTTTATGGGTCCTTAAGGCCAATTAGAAACAAGGGATATGAGAGGGGCTTTGTCAAAAATGGCTTCAAGCTCTGGGTCTTGAATCCTAGAACAAGAAAGACACTATGAGGGGCACCTGGGTGGCTCAGTCGTTAAGCGTCTGCCTTCGGCTCAGGTCATGATCCCAGGGTCCTGAGATCAGGCCCCGCACTGGGCTCCCCGCTCAGCGGGAAGCCTGCTTGTCCCTCTCCCACTCCCCCTGCTTGTGTTCCCTCTCTCGCTGTGTCTCTGTCAAATAAATAAATAAAATCTTAAAAAAAAGAAAGAAAGAAAGACACTATGAACAGAGCTAGGGAATCACACACATGTGCAGGTTTGGGGCTTGGGAGGGGGCGGGACCCAGACTTGTAGAAGAGATCAGCACGTTTGGACATGCTGAGTCAGACATGCCCACGAGGTGCCGTCCAACAGCGAGCTGGAAGTGCACATCCAACTTGACAGCTCTTGCTAAGGTTTTTTTTTTTTTTTTAAAGGTTTTATTTATTTATCTGACAGAGACACAGCGAGAGAGGGAACACAAGCAGGGGGAGTGGGAGAGGGAGAAGCAGGCTTCCCGCCGAGCAGGGCGCCCGATGCGGGGCTCGATCCCAGGACCCCGGGACCATGACCCGAGCCGAAGGCAGACGCTTAACGACTGAGCCACCCAGGCGCCCCAGACAGCTCTTGCTAAGTTTGGGAGTTTCCTACACATTGGTGATCTCAGGAGCCGTGGGTCCAGATAAGATCACTTAGTGAGAGAGTAAGGAGGTTAGAGACACACCAGAAGCAAGAGTTTAAAAAGGAGCTCCAGCAGAAGGATCAGCAACTGCAAAGGAACAAGGTCTTGCTGTGGTAGGAGGAGCCCGTGTTCGGCACTGGGGGAGCCCAAAGCGCCAGGTGGTCTGTAGAGAGAGGTAAGTGGACAGGGAGGCAGGGACCGGGGTTTTATCCCGTGATATGGGCCGAGCCAGCAAAAGATTTAAATAGGGGAGCATTGGAATTATACTGATCTTTTAGAAATATCACTTGGGCACCAGGATGAATATGGAGGTGGACAGGGACAAAACCAGAGACAAGTGACCAATAAGGAAGCCACTTCAAGGGTCCATGCTCAAGGTGTTGAGGCCTAGTTAAGGCAGAAGTGATGAGGAAGGCCAGAGAGCGATGGATAGTCAAGGGTTTTTGATGTTGGATAAAGAAGGAGGAGGAGAAAAACCAGAAGGAGGGCTAATGATGATGGTGGTGGTGATGATGGTGGTGCTGGTGGTGCCGGGGGGAAGGTGTTGGAGGTGGGAGTGATATGGCGGTGATGGTGGGGAAGGTGCTAGTGTGGTAGTGATGGTGATGGTGCTGGAGGTGATGGTGGTGAGGGCGCAGAGGGTAGGGGAACAGGAACAGAGCATTATGGACTGACCCACCAATTTTTTGATTTGGGTAGCTGGGGGTACCATTGTACTGAGTGTTGCCACCCAGGCAGAGGCGTGCCCAGGCTTGCTTGGGCTCCATGTGGCGACTGGTGCCTAAGAGGAGTCACTCTGGGTTCTCTGTCAAATTCAGCACCTTGGAGGGAAGCAGAGAGACTACGAGTTCATTGGCCTGACCCCTGACACAGAGTTCCTTGGGACCATCATGATTTTTGTTCCAACCTGGTCCAAAGAGAGCGCCCCCTACGTGTGCCGAGTGAAGACGCTGCCAGGTAAGTTCAGCGGAAACCCGAGGGAGGCGGGACTCCTGAATTCAAATTTCGGCTCTGTGCTCTCTTCCCTGTAACCGAGGTGAGGTTTGGTGTTGCTCACACAACTGCAGGATTCTTAGTGTGTTACCAAAGTCGCCTTAGTTAATCCATCATTGAGTTAGCTGATGGGTTATCATTAAACACGTTTAATACCCCCACTCCAGCCTGCTGGGTTTCCTCTCCCTGGCCAGCTTCCTGCCTACCCTAGCAAAGCAAATTCGCTTTATTAACCCAGGGGAGATATCCTGGGAAATAATCTGCAGAAGGGAAAGCAGAGAAGATAAAAGTTTCCCTCAGTATCTTCCAAAGTCAAAGAATAGTAGCAGTGATGAGAACTAGCATTTCTTTTTGGTGGTTTTTTTTTTTTTTAAGATTTTATTTATTTATTTGAGAGAGAGACAGAGAGAGCACAGAGGGAGAGGGAGAAGCAGACTTGCCACCTAACAGAGAGCCCGATGTGGGGCTCGATCCCAGGAACCTGAGATCATGACCCAAGCCTAAGGCAGGCGCTTAACTGACAGAGCCCCCCCAGGTGCCCCGAGAACTAGCATTTCTGCAGTCCTAACCAGCGACCAGGCACCACTAAGCACAATCCTCATGAGCCATCTACAAGACAGGTGCGATTATCGCTTTGTTTTACTGAGGGAACCGAGATTCAGGGTGGTTAAGTAACTTGCACAAGGGCACGCAGGTGGCGAAGGATAGAACTAGGCTGAATTCAGGAGCCCGTGTTCTCAACGTGGCGCTATTATAGAAATCGTTTTGAGTCAGCGGCCCAGGGAGATGGTGCCTCATGCTCCCTTCCTCTAGCACACTGAAACTCGACTCTCATGTTAAGCATCATATTTTTATTAGTGTTCATGTTCACAGAGATAGAAATGTTGTAATGCTCAGAGCTGCAAGTTTAGAAGATGAAAGTGATAGTAGTGGGTCGGAAAAAAGAGTCTCCTCCTTAGTCATCAGCTTCAGGGTAATGATGTCAGTGGGTGATTTCTGTTTTGATGAACAGAGGCGAGGTGGCCCCTAGAGGCTGGGCCTGAGGGTAAACTGCACCTTGGTAGAATCATCATCGCATAGGTTCTGGTCCTCGGTGTTGTTCAGAAACTCAACTCACCAGTCGCCCCAAGAACCCACAAGAGACTGATTTCTCCAGCCGAGTCCCAGTGCATTCATTTTCAGGGGAAGAGGTGCCTGGTAGAGCAGCATGCCCTTCCTGGGGACAGCGCCCCTAGGGAGACCAGAATAGAACCTGGCGAGAGCAGAACTGGAAAAGGAATCCGCCTTAATGGCACCACACTGGGAGCGTGTATATGATTTGTGACCCTCTCCCCTGGACGGGCTGGACAGATCTCGCCCATTGCCGGCCCCCCTGCCCCCCATCCCCGCTTTCTGACAACATGCAGACCACTCTAGCCTTATCCTTTTGTTGGCTTGTCCTTACGTGATCTAGCTCACGATGTGATACCTTTCTTTTCCCCGAAGACTGTAGCTGCTTTTACATAATCACACTTCTTATTGGCTAGTTCTTGCTGACATATAGAAGGCACCTCATCCTTAAAAATAAAGTATATGAATAACAATTCCTACCGTTTATTAAGTACTCCATTGCCACGCACTGTGTTAAATGCTCTACGTATATTATCCCACTGAATTTTTATAACAACCTTGCAGGTTGGGTAGTTTCATCCACATCTGACAGAGGAAGAACTCTGAACTCTGGCTCAGAGAGGCTAAAGAGCTCGCCAGTAACCACACAGCTGGTCCGTGAACCTAGTTCGTTCATCTGGTCTTGAAGCCAGCACCTTGCAATTTTGTTTACAGCTAGGCCTCTCTATTGCACATTTATTCCTCTTATTTCCATTTCAGAGTGATAGATCCTGCCCTTGACCGCATATCCTGTGGTCTCTTCTTATCCCTGGAGTCCAGAATTCCCACTTTACCTCTCGGGATGTCTGGGAGGGTCACAGAGCAACATCCCAGTATCTTGATATTGGAAAGGACTCTCACCCCATTTCCAATTTTTACAGATAAGGAAGCAAAGGCATCTTTGTGCAGTGCCTGTGAGGAGAGCTTTGTAGGTGTCCATGACAAGCCTGTTTCCCACTGAGTAGCTGTGTGACCTTGGTCAAGGCACTTAGCCTCTCTGACACCCAGCTTCATTATTCCTGAGAAGGAAGCATCTCTGGCCCTCTCTGTTTGGTGCAATATCAGAGGTAAATCACGCCACACAGGGCAAACAGTAGGAGCTTAATAACTGCTGGCCACTGTTCTCAGTACGGAGTAGCCCAGAGACAGTCGTGCAGCAGAGAGAAGGCTTCTCAGCGTGCTGGCGGCCGAGCCAGACCCCTAACAGCCCACATTCCGGGGTGCTTTCCATTACTTCCTCCTGCCTTCCCATGCGTGAAATGGCACATGGGAATGTTCCAAGTCCCCGTCCTACCCTGCCAGAGGAGCGGTGGTGTTCCCCCACCAGTAGGCCTTCTGGTCCTGTCTTCTCCCTGAAGCAGCAACGGGACTATCACGTGATGGGGGACAGGGCATCACTGAAGTGGGAAGCTGACCCAGGGAGGCCCAAGACTCACGGACCGGAAGTGGAGGCTCTAGAGATTCCCGGGGTTCACAGCGATTGCCAAGGTCCCTGGCAGCCGGTGATCAGCACCCCACGCTGAAGGCACCTGGGGGAACGGAAGGAGGGTGGCCTGGAGAGTCAAAACCCCTGGAGAACACAAATCGCCCGTTTTAGCAAAAAATTCCAACTACGGCTTCCTTAACCTGCCCCCCTGCCCCCAGTCCCTCTGGGGCTGGTGACAGGAAGTATGTCATGCCAAGAACTGGCTGCGCCCATCCCGAGGGTGCGGGACCACAGGGAGAGGGCTCCACACTAAAGCCTTTAGTCGTCCTTCTGCTTCCCCTTTAGCAAGGGTGGTGCCGCACAGGCTCCATCCCAAGCAAGGTCTTCCTAACACCCAGCTTGTTACCTTTGTAGGGGGGCAGGCCCCTCCCATTGCCACCTCCCTCCCTCTGCCTCCAGCCAGAGCCCCCTGCCAGGGAGGGCAAGAGAGGCCTGTTTAGAAGGCTCTGCTCTGGCCTTGCTCTGGCCACGGCCTTCCCCACAAGATGAAGAAGAGTCTGTAGGTCCAAATGTACAGGTCCCCCTAGAGCCTGTGACCTCCCTTCTAGCCCACACTCTGTGTACCTGGGACCCTGAAATGCCCTGTACAAATGCCCTGAGCCTGTGTCCAGTCTAACGGATCTGTCCCTTGCATCCTTTCTCCAGAGAGGAGATCCTCTGTTGATGTGCAGAGCCTCAGCCCAAAGGGTGGCCAGTAGGAAGCTATGTGTTGAGGGGCATGGATGAGCTTGGCCATGTGGGCTGGGGAGTCCACATCCATGTGCATGGTGGGCAGAGAGGGATGGAGCTGCGGTGGGCCAGGGCACCGTGGCAGGCTCTCCCTGCCCCTCCACATGTCAGCATGGGACCCCAAGGAGTCCCAAGAATTCAAAACTCAAACCTGGCCTTCCAGGTTGTGATGAAAAGTATATTTGTCAGGGCAGGAACATACAACGTATGTTACTGAGTGTAGGAATATGATTTGTAAATTCTGGAAATTTAGCCATCTAGTATGCGACCCTCTACTTGTGCTCCTGACCCAGTCCCTCACATGCTGGGGGCAGGAGAGGCCTTCCCAAGCCCGGCCCGAGAGGGCCAGGAGGAAAAGCACCCAGCCCACAGCATCCACATGGGATCGGGCCCAGACCAGATCCCAGCCTCAGAGATCCCTGCTCTGGCCCCTGTGCTCCCCTAGATCGGACGTGGACATACTCCTTCTCAGGTGCCTTCCTGTTCTCCATGGGCTTCCTCGTCGCCGGGCTCTGCTACCTCAGCTACAGATACGTCACCAAGCCGCCGCCGCCTCCCAACTCCCTGGTGAGCAGTTGCACGTGGGGCAGGAGAGAGAGGTCCAGGGGTGATGGGGGAAGAACCCCAAAGCAGCAGGGGATATGGGCCCAGGGATCCCTGGCTCTCCCTGAAGGGCAGGGATAAGCACACAGTGCAGAAAATTAGGCCTCGTTTCTGCTCTCCAACCTGAAGTCTTACAAAGACAGGGCCCAGCAGGGTGTATCGGAGAAGGGTAGGTGACTGGGAATAGTGGGCTTGGAATAGAAACCCACGCAACTTGAAAGCATCCATGTCCAGGCAGGTAACATAGGACCTGAGAGCACAGGCCTTTGCGAGGGGCCGAGGAGGGGTGGGCACTGTGGGGAGCCCTGGGGCTCACACCCTGTCAATATGGGCAGCCAAGTACTGCCGCCTGGGAACGCGGGCCAGTGTTGCCAGGTCCTCTAAGCCCCGTATAAACCTCCCAAGTCCCACTGGCAGCCCTAATATGGCGGCCAGCCCTGGCTCTGTGCTAAAGTAGCAGGGTCTGCTGCTGCAGGGGCCTGATCTGACCAGTCTGGGGCTCTAGGAGCTGGCTCTTGTTTACTATGTGAGGGACAGGGGGGGTCTGAGGGCATTTCGCTCAACGTCAAAGCCCGCATGAACCATTTCCTATAAAACTCTCCCGGCTTCCCCTTATCCCCTCTCCTTTCACACCTGGCTCCCTCCGTCAGGCTCTTAAGTGAGTGAGGAGCAGTGTGGGCCACCACCTCGAGAATGTACCCCAAGGCAACCTCCAATCTGAGTTATCTACTTCCTGGATTATCTACCTTCTAGAGAAGCCACAGGCTACATCTCTCTCCTGGGGATAACCCAGATTTTAGAAGTGGCTCTCACCTAAAGGGCTGGGAGCCCTGTCCCTTCAGGGAGGCCCAGCACTTAGAGGAATCTCTGGGAAAGCCAAGGGGATGTGCGGCATGTGCATTTTGAAAAGTCCCCTAAGTGGTCTACCCCATCCCGTGCACCTCCCCATGGAGGACCCCAACCATCCACGGCCCCCTCAGGGGGCTTAGAACATGCTCTAACGGGTGGACTGTTGCTGTCCCTGCACAGAATGTCCAGCGAGTACTGACCTTCCAGCCTCTGAGGTTCATCCAGGAGCACGTGCTGATCCCCGTCTTTGACCTGAGCAGCCCCAGCAGTCTGGCCCAGCCCGTCCAGTACTCCCAAGTCAAGGTCTCCGGGCCCAGGGAGCCCCCGGAAGCCCCACCACTGCACAGCCTATCTGAGATCGCCTATCTCGGGCAGCCAGACATCTCCATCCTCCGGCCCTCTGGAGTGCCACCTCACCAGACACTCTCTCCACTGTCCTACACACCCCAGGCTGCCCCCGAAGTCAGGCCCCCCTCCTATCCACCTCAGGTAACCCCCGAAGCTAAACCTCCATTCTACACTGCACAGGCCATGTCTGAGGTCCAGCCTTCCTCCTATGCCCCTCAGACCACTCCAGACTGCTGGCCTTCCTATGGGACCTGTGGGGAAGGCTCTGGCAAAGACTCCCCACCTGTGACACTCTCCAGTCCCAAACACCTCAGGACTAAAGGTCAGCTCCAGAAAAAGGCACCAGCTGGAACCTGTATCCCAGATGGCCTTTCTCTGCAAGGGGTGACATCCTTGAATATGGAGGACCCCCAAGAAGCACATTTCTTCCAGCAGCATCTGGGAGTTCACACGGACAGAGTACCTGACCCCAGTGTGCTACACAGAGGGGAAGCAGGGACACCATCGTACCTAAAGGGTCAGCTCCCCCTCCTCTCTTCTGTCCAGATCAAGGGCCACCCGGTATCCCTCCCTTTGCACACTCCTTCCCTCTCATGTTCCCCCACAGACCAAGAACCAAATCCCTGGGGCCTCTTGGAGTCCCTCGTGTGTCCCAGGGATGAGGGTTCCATGTCTGAGATGGAGGCCCTGAGCCCAGCCTCTCAGGCCTCAGACCTGGAGCAGCCCACAGAACTTGACTCTCTGTTCAGAGGCCTGGCCCTGATCGTGCAGTGGGAGGCCTGAGCAGAGAACAGGGCAAGCCTGGGGCTTCCTCCTCGTCCCCACCCAAGCTCACATCATTGGCCATCGCTCCCACACCCAACCTTGCTGCATGCTCTGCAGCCCCGCCTCAGGGAAGTTCCCTTGAAAGAACCAAAGGAAAGAGGGACTGGGGCGGGGTGGGGGGGGGCCTGCCACGGCTGAGCTGTGGTTGGAGCAAAACAGCATGATGAGGACTCCAGCCAGAGGAGTTCCAGGTATGCATCATGTGCAAATGAGCTCTGCGGGGCGGGAGGGGACAGCCAAAGTCCCCTCCCTTTAAAGCCGGGCATTAATGCAAGGAGACTTCACAGAGATCCAGCTCCCCCAGCTCCTGAGATGCTGGACACAAAGTTCTCCACCCCACTCCTGGCCAGTTTCATGATCTAGTTCGACAGAGAGTGAGGTCTCTACCTCCTCTGTGGTTCCCGTATCCTGAAAAATGGAGCCTGGAAAGGATGCCTCACAGCAGCCTGGGCCAAACCGGAACAACCTGCACTTCTGCCAAGGTCAGAGGTAGCACGAAGGCAAGACTCCAGAGAGGGATGCGGCCTGGGGCTCAGGTCCACCCAAGCCACTGTCGGAAATCACACCATCTCAACGTCTCTCCTCTGCTAGAGGCTTGGCCGCAGGTGAAACGCAGGTCCTCCCATGAGGGAGAACACACAAGCCTTTTCTGCCCGCAGAAGCTGCAGACCCTCTCCTGAGAGCGGGGTTCCTAAGGAATGGGGATCCATGCGGCCCACAAGAAAGAGCACGCACTTCACAACTTTGAAAACTCAGCCTTGGGCTCAGCTCATCTGGGTTCAAATTTCTGCCTTACTGCTTACCAGCTGTATGACTTCAAGCAAATGAATCACCGCTCAGAACCTCAGTTTCTTCATCTGTAAAATGGGGATCGTAACACGGACTCCACAGGGTTGTGGTGAGGATGACATTAATAATGTCCATAAAGTACTTAATAGTGCCTGGCATATGGGCAGTGCCCAATCAATGGTAGCTACGTCCTGTTGTGATTTTTTTGTAATCGGGCTGCACAGTGAGTGACCCACTCCCCCAGTTCAGGGTGGCTTCACGCGGGGCATTTTCTCATGGGCTCGAATTATCCTGATTTTCTCAGAACTGCTCTGGGCCAGGCCAGAGGGGCTGGAACTACCTGGGGGAGGTGGAGGGATGGCAGGGCCTTCTGGAAACAGGGTCCAAAGACAAATGGAGCCTTGTCCCTGAGGTTGCAGAGGGAAGTTGTTTGGGAGTGCAGTTGCATTCCCAGAAGATCTCCTCCCCCACGCCTCAGCAGAACCAGTGCGGAGCTCGGTGCTCGGTGCTCACGGTGCTGGTGCTTGGTGCTCGCTCGCTTGCCCTTCTGCCCCTGGGGCCGCTCCTCCGTAAGGAAATGGCTCCTTGCTCGTGCTTGTAGCTTGCTGGCCCATCCTTTGTATCATTCGCCTCTCAGGTGACCCTAGGATGAGATAACCAAGGTCCAGAGAGGAGAAGGCACCCAGCTTGGGGCCCCCCACTGAAGCCGGGACACAGCTGGAGCTCAAACCCAGCATCTCTGTCCTCATCACGAGGAGGAGATTCCCACACTGGTGTGGATTCTCAGAGATGAGACAGAGGGGGCTTAAGGAAGGGGGCCCCCTATGGGGTCCTTAAGGTGCCAGGTCCTGTTATCACCCTGCTGTCCCCAAAGCCTGTTCTGAACATTTCTGAGAAACAGGATCAAAGTCTTGCCTCAGCATGACCTTCCCGAGTATACAATGTCCTCCGTTCCCTGCACCCAGATGTGTCTCCCTCCCCTTCCTCACTGCCCCCTCCCCCCACAACACAGCACCAGCTGGTGGTGTTCTTATCTGTCATTAATATTTAACATGTCTTCAGGGTCACTGGTCTAGACCCAATCTCTCCATAAGAGAGGGATGGGCCACCCTCCTGACCTCCTCGGCCCACTCTCAGCAGCCGCAAAGGTGGCCTCCAGGATTACTCCCCTCCCCCCCACACTGAAAACAAGTCTGCTTCCTGTCACTTGGGGTGAACTTGGCCAAAGGTTGACTATCTTCACCTTGTTCAATAATGAGAAACAACTTAACAGCCGGACTGTTCTCACCAGGTAAGTGGGACAGGGAGTCACAGACATATGTTTTTTTAAGGCCATAAAAGGGCTGTGAAGCTCCCTAAGCTCCTCGGGTGACAGACAGATGTCCCAACTACTCCATGACCCTCCGAGGGTGGAGTCTGAGTGCCTGAGGAGAGAGAGGAATGGCTCTGAGCCCTGTGAGCCTCCACAGGTGGCCCGGGCCCCACTGAGGGGCAGGCTCCGGGTCTCCGGCCTCCCAAGCAGGCAGCCCAGGCCTGCAGATAGGGCTGGAAGCAGCTGGAAGGCAAAGGGTCTGAGGCCCCCTGGAGCTGGGCTGAGGCACTGGCATCCCTGAGTGTCCTAGGCCCTGACCCCGTTACCAGGAATCTGCATAGCCTGCCCCACCTTGCACAGCCCAGGGAGTCTTCACAGCAGAGCCCAGCCCTGGAGTAAACAAACAGGTGTGTGTGTGGGGGGGGGGAGTGGGGCGCCTGGGTGGCTCAGTTGTTAAGCGTCTGCCTTCGGCTCAGGTCATGATCCCGGGGTCCTGGGATCGAGCCCCGCATCGGGCTCCCTGCTCTGGAGCCCTGCTCTGCGGGAGGCCTGCTTCTCCCTCTGCCACTCCCCCTGCTTGTGTTCCCTCTCTCGCTGTGTCTCTCTCTGTCAAATAAATAAATAAAATCTTAAAAAAAAAACAAACAGGTGTGGGGGCAGGGAGCCTTACGAGGAGCAATAAGGAGGAACTCAGCCATGTTGCTTGGCGGTTTACTTACTTGACCACTCAACCTCCTGGTAAACTGCCATGATATTTCGTATTATTGATATTTTGCAAGGGAGGAAAATGTGGCTCAGAGAGGTTACTTGCCCAAGTTGGTTTCCTAAACTTGCATCATCGTGAGAATCCCCTGGGAACGTATTAAAAATGCAGCTTCCCCAGCCCTACCAAGGCCTGCTAAATCCACGGCTCCTGGGGAATCTGTGTATCTAATAAACACCTTTGGGGTTGCCTCTCAGGCAGGGGAGGGAAAAAGGTCCTCATACCAACAGTTTCCCTGCACATAGCTTCAAATCAACCTCCCAGGAGTCACCCTTATTCCAGCCCCTGGATTGGGGTGTGGGGCAAGGATACTCAGGTGGTATTTCCACCTGCGAAGTCCGCAGACCTCTGGCCTCCCACCTCCCCAGTCCCAGGAACATACAGGGGTTGCCTGAGTTCCCACCCAGAGGATAGGGCCCATGGGACTGGAGCTCCTGCGGGGTCCCTCCCAGAGGCTGGATCCTTCTGTGCCCCTCCCAGGTCTGAGCGTCAACCTGAACAAGGAGGCTAGGACCACGTGTCACTGCCAAGGCTGGTGCCCCATTGCTGTCCCCACCCTCCATTCCAGAAAGTGAGACAGAAACTATCAGTGGGAGCAGGAATGGCCTCGGGTGCTGTGGCTGGAGGGTCATATAGCCCTGAGACCCTAGCCTCCACACTCAGCCCCTGGGCTGCTCAAGCCCATTGTCCTTTCCCACTCTCAGGAGGAAGCGGCATAGAGAAGACACATTTTGGCCTGTAAGTCTGAGAAGAACAGTCAGCGGAATTAACTGAGCGGGGAGAGGGAAAGAGGGAGGGAGGAGAGAGAAGCAGGGAGGAAGGAGGTGTTGGGAGAAAGCACCGGGCCAGACAGCGCTCCCCTTGGCCACCAGGTGAAGCCCATCAGCCAAACACAATTCAGCTGCTGCCTGAAAAAGTGGCGTGGAAGTTCAGGGTATTGGGTACGTGAATTTAAACAACTGTCCTTAATGTTCATGCATCCAGGGAAGGCAATAAAAGGGAGAAGAAGAGAAAGAAAGGAGAAAAAGAAGGAAATATGGAGGGTATTTGCCATGATGAGCCAGGTACTGTACCAGGCATTTTATACATTTTAACCTCATTTGAATCTCGCAACCACTCTGCAGGATAGGTATTCATTCATTCATTCATTCATTCATTCTTCAACAAGCATATATCAAGGGGCTGGTCGTATGCTGGGCACAGCTCTCGGGGCTAGGGGTACAGTGGACAAGACAGGCAGGCGAGCTTCCTGTTGTTTCAGAACTTACCTCCAACTCACCAGTAAAGAAACTAAATTAGCCCAGAGAGGAGGCCAGGGTCCTTCCATTAGTGAGCGCCCGGGGCCAGAGGTTGAGATTTAAGCCGAGGTTTGTGTAATTCCAAGTCTCACCTCTGCTCAGCCTCACGACCTGCAGGGTCGGCTGTGTGCACTTTAAGGCACATCCAGATCTCCCCGAGGCGATGCCCCAGTGAGGAGAGAGGGCATCACTGGGGTGAATGGGAATCCCACACACAGAGGGAGGGTAGGCTCTCAGCATTTCTAGTGCTGCCGAGTTATCACTGGAGTTCCCGTCTAGCAGGTGTCTGCGGGGAGCCAGGCACTTTGCTCAGGCTTCACATTCCCTAATCGAATCTTCTCAATCTCACTGCAAGGCCAGCATCGTTGAGCCCACTGTACAGATAACAGAGGCGGAATGGTGACATGACTTACCCCAGGTCCTACAGCTAGTAAGTGGTGGCCCCTCCACCAGGCCGCCTTGAATGGGGTTACAGGACCAGTTTTAAGTGTCTCTCTCCTGCTGGTTTGGAAGCCCACACCACCCTGCTGTATGTACAAATTCACACTCACATCTCACAGAGAATGTATACATGTGGGTCTTGGAAAGCCCTTCTGAGGTTGGCTCCATACGAGATGGAAGAGGGACACCAAATGTTCTCCCCCAAAAGATGCTTTTAACACTGCCACCAGGGAGGAAGGGGGAGAAGCAGGAAAGTTTAGAAAGGGGGTTTCAAATATGGCAAGAGACTAAGATTTTAGCCGAAGAGCTCACTTATGTTCTCCCTCTCCCCTTCCCCCTCCCTCCCTCCCTCTCTCTTTCTCTTTCTTGAGAATAGGCCCTGAGCTGCTAGGAAGAGTGACAGGCCTGGTGTTGCTGGCCCCCCTGAGGCCCCAGGAGGAGGCGAGGGAGGGGAGCTGTGCTCTCTGGACCAGAGCTTGCACCCCCTTTCCTCACCTGCTCAACCCCTGAGACCTGACTCAGGTGTACCTTCCTGATC